CACATAGAAAGTTTTTGTGCATAGATGGTCGTGTCGGTTCATAGAACCAAACTAGGCTTACTACAGAAAATTTGCAGGTAAATAATGATTCAACAAAACAAAAATATTTTGATTTCAAGTTTTCCTCTCACCTATGTATAAACAAATTTACTTGTTAGTCCATTAATAAAAAATAATTTACACCTTCTCGTTAGAGTGGGAGACGTGTAGACAAGATATGTTTGTTTCTCATTTTTTGAAGAATGAAAATGAAAAATTTAACCCTTATGGTCCCACACAAAAGATAGAAATTCAAATTTGTTGACTTGATGTGATAGATAACGGTCATATTTTTCATTTGAATGGGGAAAGAATGAGCAACAAGCAGGAGCCTAATTACTTTTAACTTCTAACTGACTTGATTCAACGCTTTTAATTGGAGCAGCCATTCTAGATCCACGAATAGTTGGAATCTTTTTCCCCATCTTAGCCAACATAGGAAACTAAGTTAAGCCTCTATTTGAGCTACATTTTTTGAAAAAAAAAAAATGTATTCTTGAATAATATTTTGACTATATTTCAACCATACATTTTTCAATAAAATAATATTACACGTAAACTTAAAATTTTTTTTATTTTTTAACTACACATTTTCAATCAATACATTATTCAAAAATGTATTTTTTTTAAACAGAAATGGGGTGACAAAAATAGGGCTCAAACAAACCCTAACTAATTTGGGAGAAATTGACACCAAATAAACTGAAGACGAGAACTATGAATTTGTCACATGAAAACTTGTCAAGTGATGACACAATCTAGAAAACACAAATTATGGTAAAAAGGACGATAGAAAAACTTCACTTTTACATAAGCTAAAAATATGCTGGAAGGCTGGTTCTGCACAGGAAATGAACAGAAGAAAACCAGTTAAACAATGTAGAAAGTACTAGATTTCATTATTTAATGATAAGTTGAAAAATACTGCTAGAATAATAATCAGAGAGGTCTCAAATAAACCCGTTAATCCAGGTCTTTGTACTAGCAAAAAAAAACTCCTTAAAATCTACCGCCTTTTAACCTTGTTTGCATCGATTTTGCTGCTTGTACATAAGTGATTACCTAAAATTAGGTGGAGGAAAAAGATTGAATGAAAAAATTGATTGAATTTTAAACTGATAAATGATAGTATCATGTCAGCATTATCGTAAACATGTAACAAGGTCCCTTTTGCACAGGCACGTGTATAGATTAGGTTAAATAATCTTAAGGAGTCTCATTTTTACACCTCTTCTCCATACTCGTGAATGCTTTGAATCCCTGTAATCCATCCAAGGTCGTGAAATGTGAACTTGACCAATTATGACATGTCCATGGGAAGATTCTTGTAATAGACTGTATTAAGAAAGGAAACGGTTGAAATTTTGTTCATTTTATTATTCGATCTGGTCGAGTAATAAGCAACGAACAGGCACTTATATTTTATACTCATAGAACCAAAACCCAAAATTTAGGAATAAAAACACTGTAGAAGTCGATAAAACTTTGGAGATGAAAGCAAGAAAACCTGAGTTTGTAAAGCAAGCTGCTCCACCCCAAAAGATCTAGCGGCTGCAAGTGTATCAAGGGCAAGATCAACGGCTGAGGTACAATGTGTATGCCAACAGCCTCTCTCCCCACAATTAGGCCTTGCCTCATGCTTGTGAGGTATAACCGAAACTTGACCACTGTACAAGAACTGAAGCATCAAAAGAAACGCTTCATAGCTCACTGAATCCACCGTTATGATCGCCGGAGAGTTGGAACCTCGCGGGGATGATGGCGGCGCTGTGCAAAAGAATTTCCTAAAGAAGAGACTCCTGGCTGCTAGAATGCACCTGTGGGCATGGACTAAACGGCCCTCTACACTGAAGGTTACGTCACTGAAAGCTTGACCGTTGATTAGGAGATTGAGACAGTCCAGAGAGAGAGATCTTAAGTTTTCATCAGCTGCCATTGTAGATAAGACTCTGTATGAGTTCGTGTGTGTAATGGGTTTGTAGAAGTGGAGAGAAGTGCTAAGCGCAAATCAGTCTTTTGTTCAACTCCTCTTTGATGATAACTCTTATTGCTTGGGAGATTCTTTCTTTGCTGTCTGTAGGGTTTGATGTTTAGAAAGAGATAGAGAGAGGGGAAGACGTGACATTTGTTAATCATTATGTTACAACATTAGATCTTATGCTAAACAACATTAATTTACTTTATGTTTGTCACACAATTAACCCATCAAAAACTTGTATAAAATTAAAATAGAATTAGGATAGATATAATTAAATTATTTTCTTTAAAAATATTATTAACACTATCACTCATAATACAATGCAGAGTTCAAACTGAATTTAGATCCATAATACAATCAGTTTAGACCTCATGCTAAACAGCATTAATTTGCTCTATCTTTGTCAGCGACAAATTAATTAAGAAAAAGTCTACTTGTACATAATGTTTTTCATAATATGATGTGGCTATCATTCGATTATTGATGTGAAAGTGTGAGATTTGAATTAATAGTTAGATTCAGTGCCACATATAATTATGAACATCATTATGTAAACAATTATGTCCATGTATGTAGCACTTCCTTTCTTTTAAAGAGAGTTGCTTGGTGTACAGGTATAGGGGTAAGGCGCTGTTCTATTGGACAATGACAAAAAAAAAAAAAGATTTAAAAAAAAAAACGACAATTGACAGCACCTGTAAAGTCCATGTACATTATTCCCGTGTACAAGGGAAATGAGCCTATGTTAAAATGAAATACCAAATAACACTATCTACAAACTACAATATACCTTATATGATTCACAATTTATTATAATTTTATATGAAGGGCCTGTTTGGGCTCGATTTTTTCCCCCAAAAAATTGATTTTTTTATCGTTATTTCACTATTTCAGTCGTCATATTTGACTTCTTCTCTCACAGGTGAACCCCACTTTTTTTCTAATGGTCAAAAAATCAATTCTCAAAATCACTTCCAAACCGCCTCTAAATGTTATATCTGGACTAACTTGATGTGCTTAACATAACCTAAATGTCAAAAAATAATAATAATAATAATAAAATGTCTCTGACTTTTCAACTTATAAAATCTAAAATATACTAAAAGTTTTAACTGGATAATTATTTTGGCCATATTAACAAATTGATTGACAAGACAGCACATATCACGACTGTCTGTTTTTTTTATGATTTTGAAGTCATTCGATTTGACATTTGACTTGTCTTTTCAAGCTTTAATTTTTCTTCCCCCACTTTCACAATACTGTCTGTGTCCTAACTTTTCTTTTAGCGATTTTTTTGGCTTTCTTCTCTTCTTATACATGCACAAATTGTTTCAACCACATGTTTTTGCATTTTCAAGGACAATTTTTTCTACTAAGAATTCTCATTCCATTACCTAACTTCAATTAATTAAAATTCAAACATTTTAATGAATTCGATCAACATTTGGATTAAAAATGGAGTTGGTGGACAAGATATGAGATTTGATCTTGGAAAGAAAGAGCCAATTTTTGAAAGGGAGATGCTTCACGTATAGGGAGGAATTTACAGAGGTCGACCAGGGCAGACAGAAGGGCCGCACAATTTTTATTTTATTTTTTTAAATGCAAGTCGGTGGGACCGACCTGCAGCTACAATGAGGGATTTATAAACCCCCTGTAGAACAGTGCCCTGTGCGCAGGGCATTGTTCTTTTTGAAAAAAAGAAAAGCAAGCTTGCATAGATATGCAATCAGTGTTCATAATAATTAATAAATAAATGGATCGCCTAAAGTGTCCTTTCCGACGTACATCATTCATACTAGATTAAAGTTATCTAATTGCCTCGTTGCGGTCACTCAATTCTAATAGGACGTGACAAGCTCAGATCTATCATTCCATCTTTGCTATCTTTCATTCACCTTTAAAATTTTGACACCTTTGTAGCGGCTCTCAATTTGTGAACGAAAAAGTCAAAAATGACTGCTAATCATGTTAAATTACAATAAAAAAATTGATTTTTTGGACTGAAAAATCAGAACGAGGTCATAGACTCTAGAGAGAAATAAGATAGAATTTATTTTTGTTAAACTATGGGCTCTTTATAACATTTATTTATTATTCCAAAATTATAAAAAAAAATCATTAAAAAAACAATTGAAACTAGCATTATTGAAAGAAGTCATCATAACGTTGTGTAAAGAAAATTGCGACTTATAATTCACCTCGATTTTTTAAAAAATATATTTTATTTATATTTATATTTATATTTTTTTATTGTTGTTAAAAATTTTAATATAACAATGATCCATTGGTTAAATCAATGTCTTCAAGATTCGATTAATGAGCCTTTGATCTGATACCTTAATTAGGTTATTGATTGATCGGGCGATAATTACATTATCGAAAATTATAAAAAATTGAACAATATACCTAAATTCCAATTGGACAGGCCAATAAACGATACCATTATTGCTTGTGGGGCCTTGTTATATGTATATCAAAATTTACATAAGTGATTACATAATATCGACATAACACTGTCATTTGTCATTTTATAAAATAGTCAATTTTTACCTTGAATCTTTTCACTCTCTGTCATTTTCAGTAATCGATTATTTAAATTTTTTATGTACAAATAACCAAATTTTACTTGTGGCCTTGACGACACCTATCTACGCACCCCCACCCTATAAAACATTGTCATGACCTAAAGCTCAATCACACCGACACGTGTCATCAAAACATTATCTCTCCATCAGTCCCACAATTAACAGTTTGACGATAGTATAATTTGGCTTTAGTGGTGTCGTTGTCCTTGTTTCTTTGAAGGATGGAAAATTGCATAACTGGTCGCCAATTTATTTTACTAGTAAATTTGTACTCCAACATTTATAAAAAGGTCAATTTATTCCTCAACTTTTTTCTACAGTGCACAATCGGTCCATATTGACAATTAAATGATTTAACAAAAATTTAAAGTATTTTTGCAACAATGAACTATTGAGAGGTACATTGATTCTTTTTAGACATTAAAAATAAAGTTACCATGGGCGTTGCTACTTGGACAGGGGCCATGATAGGCCTGTGTGACAGGCGCCTATTTGCGTCGTGTATTGCATTTTATTTGTATATTCTAAAGAGTAATGCTAGTCATTTAAGTAGCAGCACTTGTGTCATTAAATCAAGGGTAGGTCTAGGAAAAATGTTAAGACGCGCTAATATGCAAAAAATAAAATAAAAAATTACACATAAAAAAAATTACTTAATTTTTTTTAAAGGTGAATTGGGTTGGGGAGTCCAATCCTCCCTACATCCGCCAATGCATTAAATTATAGATTCAATTAGATATAATGACTAATGACTTGTTTATTAGGACGTATAACATGGCGATATCTAAATTGGTATTCAACATCATCGATACTAGATAGTATTATTTATTCTAAATTTAACTCTGCTGAGTGTACAGAGGAAGGGTTTCATAGAATCCCTCCAGAACATATACAACAGATGGGGGTGGGTTTTTTTTTTTTTTACATTATTTTATTCACATGAAATCCACGTGCTCAGCATTATTTCTGTAAAATCATTTCATTTAAAAATTGTTCTAAATCTACCCTTTCATTGAGGGTGACATCGTATTCCTGTATCAAAATTTGGCTAATTCTTTTTGCCCCTATTTTCTCTCTTAGATTTGACCCATCTCTTTCTTTCTGACACGTTCACTGCCTCTTTCAGCCTACGCTTTTCTACCATGAGTGGTCCATTGAATACTTGCATATTTTGGCTATTCTCTCTCTCTCTCTCTAGTCTTTTCTTGTCTGGTAAATCGATGCTTATATTGTCATGTTTGTTAGGACTAGCACAAAGTTTGATAAATGCTGGATCCTACAGTCGCAGAAAAAACGTAAGCGAGGGACGCATAATATCTCAAGATTACAAAACTACTGCAATGGACAAAAGATTACGATCTAAAAGACAAGGAGGATCGGACTTGGATACTCGTTCTAATAATCATCCATAAAACAAAGGAAGGATGAGAGACTCTTTGAAATCGAAATTATTTTTATACTTCTAGATCAAGTGTTACGAACCACGAGTGGCTAACATATTTTTTTTCAACTAAAAATTCTTTTTTTTTCTCTTGACACTCAGACGAGCCGACAAGTGACCAGCACGACAAAAACCCAGCTCGGCCAATGACTCGCCTTTGAGGACAAGCCCATATCCATCTTGGTTCACCATTTTATACATTATTACTTATTTAGCGCCTTTCTTTCAGCTCGAGCTCGGTTAAGTTAAAATGGTCGAGCTTTTTGAAGAGCCCGAGCTGAGTTGAGCTTTTGCTCGGCCAAAAAATTTCGGCTCGACCAAGCTTTCGGCTCCGACTTTTTAGCTGAGCCAGGCCAGCTCTTCTTTTTTTTTTTTTTTTTTTCCTTTCTGGCTGCCTTGGCTCTTTTTTTTTTTTTCTCATTGTTTTGAAAGGCAGAATTGCTGCCTTTTATGTCCCCCACTTTTTTTTAAATTAAAGGCTTGCGGGCTGGCTCGGTTGCTCCAAGCCACGAGTCGGGCCGTAGGCCACCCGAGCTGTCGAGTCTTTATGACACCCCTACACATTGGGAATGAGTGAAAAGTGTAAGTTTGGGAATGTGTGAATCACATGAGAAATGTAAGGCTATATTTGACCACAGAGGGTCGGGAATCGAAACAACTTTTGCAGTCATGGTTGATTACTTAATTCTTCACACACACATTGGTGTTGCACTGGAAAAGTAGATATTGGTTTGGTATTGCGACTTGAAGCATGTTAGTGGAATAAACATCAAAATTTCGAATTGAGAGGTAAAAAGCTTGATTGTCCAACCATTATCTTTTGCATGCTTGTATGTT